ATAGATAGATAGATAGATAGATAGATAGATAGATAGATAGATAGATATAGACAGACAGATGGGGGACGAACGGTCTGCCACCTCCAAGTGGTGTCCCCTGGATGCGCGAAGCCGTCAAACGCTGACCGTAACTGAGAGCAGACCCTCCGACGACAGGCCCACGCGACAGGCCGGCTGGAGTACTCAAATGCCGCATCAACATGGTGGAAACGTCCACTACAAAACACACGTCCAATGCTACCGCGTTCGGGGGAACCGACGGGCGCAGGAGACCATTGGCCTGCGCCAAAAATCAACGAAATGGTCCACGCGGAAAGCACGGCGCACCTGCACCGTGTGAGAAAGCTATGGCGACTGCGTCCGGGTCCGATGCGCACGGAGACTACCCGATCCGTGTGAAAAAACGCAAGCGGGGAACAGAGGACTGCCAGACGCTCAAGGTGGCCACCTGGAACGTGGATTCGCTGACTGGACGCTCGACCGAGATCGTCAGGGCCATGCGGGACAGGAAGCTGGACATCTGCTGCCTCCAGGAAACTCGCTGGAAGGGCAACAAGGCTACGACTATAGACGGCTACAAGATCATATACACCAGCTGTAAGGAAAACCGCGGCGGTGTAGCTGTGGTTGTCAGTCCAAGCTGGCAAAGTTCCGTCGCAGAAGTTAAGCGCCTCACAGAACGACTGATGATAATCGTCGTAGCGACCGAGAGGCAGCGCCTACACATCTTGTCTGCCTACGCCCCTCAGACCGGATGTCACGAGGAGGAGAAGGATACCTTCTGGGAACTGCTCGACATCCAACTCAGGCAGATCCCACACGAAGACGACATCATCATCTCGGGCGACCTGAATGGTCATGTAGGGCGGGACAAAAACGGGCACCAGTGCCACGGTGGGCACGGCACAGGCGATACGAATGAAAATGGCCAGAGGATCCTGGACTTTGCCGACTCCCATGATATGACCATCACGAATACCTGCTTCATTAGGCGAGAATCTCAACTCCTCACCTACCATAGCAGAAACGGGAGCCACCACACACAGATCGACTACATCATCGTACGACGAAGAGCCGCTAAAAACGTGCTCAACGCCAAGGTGTACCCGTACGAATCGAGCAGTCAGCACAGGCCGCTGATGGCGAAGATCAGGATCAGCAAGCCCAAGACCAGGATTGACAAAAGGAATGCAGACCAGCCACGAATCAAGTGGTGGAACCAGAAGAAGATGGCGGGACCCCTCATCAAACCGGAGCAGTTCCTGCAGATGGTCGACGGGCCACAGGAAGCGTGGTCCATGCTGAAGAGCACTGTTCACACTGCCGGCTGCCAACAGCTTGGTTGCACCAAGCCAGGACGGAGACGCATCGAACGAGATACATGGCTCTGGACACCGGAAGTACAAGATGCCGTACACCTGAAGAAACGGCTCTACAAGGCCTTTCTTCAGGACAAGACCAGCGAGAAGCTCTGCGAATACAAGGCGGCCAAAAAGGCAGCCAAGAAAGCAGTAGCGACAGCCAGAAGCTCCCACTACGATGACATCTACGAGAAGCTGAACACGCGAGAAGGCGAGAATGAGATCTACCGCCTAGCCAAAAGCAGACACAGGAAGACCCTGGACATTGACCAGTTTCATGGGATCAACGACGAAAGGGGAAATTTGATCGTCAACCCCAGAGACGCTGCGGAGAGGTGGCGGCAATACTTCGAGAAGATCTCCACCGAGGAGATCCCACACCCACGAACCCCGCGAGGTGACCCAGTTGAAGGCCCAGTCTCAGGCATTTATGCCAGCGAGGTCGCCGACGCCATCAAGGCCATGAAAAACAGTAAGGCAACAGGACCAGACGACATCCCTGCCGACTTCTGGAAAAAGGCACTACCGGGCTCGGCATTGTGGCTGTGCGAGCTGTTCAACAACATCGTCTCCACGGGAAAAGTGCCACACGACTGGTACCGCAGCACCACTGTTCCGATCTGGAAGGGAAAGGGCAGCCCAGCGGACTGCTCCAACTACAGACCGGTCAGGTTACTGTCACACACTATGAAGATCTTTGAACGCGTCCTTGATAAGCGCATTCGGGACATCGTCGACATCAGCGTCAACCAGGCTGGATTCATCAAGAACTGCGGCACCACCGACGCCATCTTCGGTGTGCGGATGCTGATGGAGGCTCACAGAGAGAAGAAAATCCCGCTCCACACCGCCTTCCTAGACTTGGAAAAGGCCTTCGACCGAGTCCCGCACGATCTCATCTGGTACGCACTGCGAGATCACGGCGTGCCTGAGCTGCTCGTACAATGGGTCCAACTCCTATACAGATGTCACAAAAGCCGTGTAAAAGCGGCAGCTGGGATATCAGAGGAGTTTAATATTACCGTCGGCGTACACCAGGGCTCTGCTCTCTCACCACTGCTGTTCATTCTGGTGATGGACACAATTACACACGACCTGTACACGCCCGCCCCATGGACGCTGCTCTACGCCGATGATGTGTTCCTGGCCAACCTGTGCAAGGCTGAACTCGAGCACCGAGTCCAACAGTGGCACGACCGCCTCGAGCAGTTCGGGCTCCGGCTGAACCTAAAGAAGTCCGAATACCTGACCACTGACAATGAAATGACAGGCTCCATCCACGTGAACGGGCAGGAGCTACCGCGCGCCTCCACCTTCAAGTACCTGGGAACTACTCTTGGGGAAGAAGGCCTATTACAAACTGAGGTGGCAGCCAGGATCAATGCAGCGTGGGGCAAATGGAAGTCCGTCACGGGCGTCCTCTGTGACAAGAAGATGCCGATGCGCCTGAAGGCGAAAATCTATAACTCTGTGGTGCGCCCCGTGGCCATATACGGCGCAGAGTGCTGGCCGACGACCAAAGAAGTCGAAAGCAGACTCCAGATAATGGAGATGCGAATGCTCCGATGGTCGGTAGGCCTCACCCTACTCGATCGCGTCAGGAACGAAGAAGTGCGTAGACGGTTCAACGTCGTGCCCATCCCCACGGTCATGAGGCAGTCCCGGCTACGATGGTTCGGCCACGTGAGCCGCGCCAAGGAAGAATCCATCATCAAATCTGTAATGAAGGTGACTGTCGGAGGAGCGAGACCGCGTGGTAGACCTAAACAACGCTGGATGGACACGATCAAGGCCGATCTAGAGATCGCGAAGGCAGACCCGACACGCGTGGCAGACAGAGAGGTGTGGAAGCAGTACTCAAGGACATTAGCGGACCTCGCCCGAGCGCGAGACAAACGCTGAAGAAAAAGAAGAAGAAGATATAGACAGACAGATAGATAGATAGAGATGGATAGAGATTATAGATAGAGAGATGATAGAGGGAGGATAGATAGATGATGGATGGATAGATAGGGAAGATATACATATCGAGAGAGGGAGGATAGAGAGAGAGGATAGACAGATAGACAGATAGACAGACAGACAGACAGACAGATAGATAGATAGATAGATAGAGATTATATATAGATGATAAATAGATAATAGATTATAGATATAATGATAGGTGATAGCTAGATATAGATAGATAGAGATAATGATAGATAGATGATAAGTAGAGAAGTAGATATAGATAAGATAGATAAGATATAGATAAAATATAGATGATAGATAAATAGATATATAGATATATAATGATAGATGATAGATAATGAGATAGATGATAGGTAGATAATGACAGAATAGAATAGATTGGTATAGAATGGAATGGAACAGAAGCTGGGAGGGACCTTGGAGGTCCTCTAGTCCAGCCGCCTGCTCAAGCAGGAGAACCTGCGCTATTTCGGGTCAGGGGCTGTCCAGCCTCTTCTTAAGACCCTCCAGGGATGGAATCGCGCACCATGTCCGGAGGCGAGCTATTTATTTACTGATTGCATTTATACCCCGCCTTTATGGGGGAGGAGAAAGCCCCTCTCCCCCACCCCCCTCCGGCCACGTCGATCTGCCCCACCGGCCCTCGTCTCCAACGTCCCAGGGGGCGCTTCCTGTCCCTTCCAGGTCTCTGGCAGCCCCCAAAGGAGAGGCCAGGGTCTCCGTTTCCGAGGAAACCAAGCCGGGGAAAGCCCCCCTCCCATGCCCACGCCCCCCCCCATGCCCAGGTACCCACCTTTCAGCTCCAACAGCTGGTCGTGGTATTTCTTCCGAAGCTGCACCTCCCGCAGGTAACGCTCCTGCAGACCTTGGCTGCTCTGCGCCACTTCCCTGATCACCGAGAACATCTGGAGGGGAGGGGGGGAGAGTGAGGGGGGAGGACAGCCCCCCAGGAGCCTCCAATCGCGGGGGGGGGGGGTGGAGGGAGCATCAGCACCACTCCAAACAGAACAACAGAACAGACTTGGAGCTCAAGTATGAGACCCTACACCATTTGAGACAAGTGGCCGTCCAATCCCTTCTTTAAAAGCCTCCAGTGATGAAGCAGCAGCCACAACTTCCGGTGGCAGGCAGTTCCACTGTCCTCCGTGTTGGGAAATTCCTCCTTCATTCCAGGTTGCTTCTCTCCTGGGTTAGTTTCCATCCCTTGTTTCTTCTCCTGCCTGCTGGTGCTTTGGAGAATAGCTTGGCCCCCCTTCCCTCCTCCTCTCTGGGGCAGCCCCTCAAATATTGGGAGACCGCGATCCTGTTCACCCCTGGCCCTTCTCTTCCCTAGACCGGCCGGAGCCAAATCCTGCAGCCTTTCTTCGTCTGTTTGGGCCTCCGGCTCCCCAGTCGCCTCGGTTGCCTTTCCCTGAACTCTTTCCAGAGTCTCAGGATTGTTTTTTGTATCACGGGGATGATGGTTATTTTTTTACATTTCATCTCTTTTTTTTTACTTTTTTTTTTTAAAAAAATGTGTTTCCTCTTGGGGGTTTAAGCGCCAAAGGAGTATTTGGTGTCCTGCAAGGCGGCTCCTCTTTCTGCGGGTTCAGGGGTGTCAATTGTGTGGATTTTGGCCACCCCCAGTTGGATTTGGACAGCCACCCACCCGAGACCCCCCGCTTGGATTTTTTTTATCCGTCCTGGTTCCCTCCACCTCTTTTTCCTCTTTTTTCACCTCGCCATCCCTTCCTTCCTCTTTCCCTTCTCTATCACGATTAGTTTTTCCATCCCCCCAAGCACAATCCAGCCACTGCCCCCTTGCAGAAGACGTATTAATGATGATGATGATGAAGATAAATTATCAGACTTGAACACCCTGATTCTACCAAAAAAACCACCCTACTTGGAACAGCTTTTATCCTCCAACGCTACCTGAACAGTTCCTTGGTTAGGATTCGAGCTGTTGAGCTACCAACCAGCCCCAAAGGCCGTGAATCTCACTAAAGATATAATAATAATAATAGTAATAATAATAATAATAATAATAATAATAATAATAATAATAATAATAATAATAATATCTGAACAGTTCCCAGGTCCTTGCTTAGGACTCAAGCTGTTGAGCTACCAACCAGCCCCAAAGGCCGTGAATCTCACTAGATATAATAATAATAATAATAATAATAATAATAATAATAATAATAATAATAATAATAATAATAATAATAATAATATCTGAACAGTTCCTAGGTCCTTGGTTAGGATTCGAGCTGATGAGCTACCAACCAGCCCCAAAGGCCGTGAATCTCACTAAAGATATAATAATACTACTACTACTAATAATAGTAATAATAATAATAATATCTGAATAGTTCCCAGGTCCTTGCTTAGGACTCAAGCTGTTGAGCTACCAACCAGCCCCAAAGGCCGTGAATCTCACTAGATATAATAATAATAATAATAATAATAATAATAATAATAATAATAATAATAATAATAATAATAATAGTAATAGTAATATCTGAACAGTTCCCAGGTCCTTGCTTAGGACTCAAGCTGTTGAGCTACCAAGCAGCCCCAAAGGC